TGAAGTAAGTCTATCAAAATTTATTTTTAGAGTAAGTAGATTCTTCCTTATTTTTTATTATTATTATAATATACTATATTTTTTGACTAAAAGATTGTCATACTTTTAGTTTACTAATATAGGTTTTTTCAATTTTTATTTTAGTTTTTAACCCTTTTGATCTTATATATGTATATTATGTGTTGGTAGAAGAGAATTCACATCAAGAGGAATAAGAGTAGTTGTCACATGGTTTTATTTTTATACTAGAATATATTTAATAAAAAATTTTACACTTATAAAAAAGTATTACTCTCATAAAATATTTTTGTTTTAAATGAACATGGAAATTTAGAATAGATAAAAAGAAAATAAATTAGTAATATTATTATTTTAATCCTATTAATTTGTATCATTTTTTTCCACTAATATTAAATAAGTCACAAAAAATTACAAAGTCACTCTTAAATATAATCTCAGATAAAAAGAGAAAAAGGAAAAACTATCACTCTATCATGAGACTATGTAATTTATAAAAAAAGAAGCTTTTTAATTTTTTTACCCCAAAAAAATATATTTTCCAAAATATTATTATATTTTTTTTAATAAAAATGATATAAAATATTTTATTGTCCTTACTTAACAAATTTTTTGAACAAGTATTATTGAATTTATCTTATAAACATTTATAATGCATTAAATTTTTAAAAGACGTGTTTGGTTTAAAAAAGCAACAAAAAAAAATAATAAAAGGAAAGAAATGATAAAAAAGAAGTAAAATGAGATTTTTTTAATGTTGTTTGATAAGAAAAAGATATAATTTTTTGTTTGCTTAACTGGTTAGAAAGTGAAAAGGTATATAAAAAATAATTAATGAGAAGATACAATAAGATATGTTCTCTATCATACAATAAATATCATACTATAATTTTTACACATACCAATAAAACTCCTCTCACAAGTGTTTGTCCAAACAAACGGCTAATCCTACCTAGTCAGTCGATTTAGAGACATCACTATCTTGGAGAAACATTCAATGAATCTCTTATAGTAACCCGTCAACCCAACAAAACTTTTTATCTCAAAAACAGTCTAAGGAAACTCCCACTATAGCACCGTCTCAATCTTAATTGGATCCACAAAAATCCCTATAGTAGAAATTACATGACTTATAAATTTCACCTCATTTAACCATAATTCACACTTTGAAAGCTTGACATACAACTACTTATCCCTCAAAACCTCTTAATCCAATCTCAAATGCTTCATGTGCTCCTCTAGAGATCTCGAGTAGATAAGAATGTCATCAATAAAAACAACCATAAACTTATCTAAAAAGGGTATGAAGATTGTGTTCATATACTCCATGAAAACAGTAAGGGCATTTGTCACTCCAAATGACATTACCACGAACTACTTTCACAATCCGACTACCACACTCCAACCTCTCCACAATCTTCGTCTTCTCTACTAGGACTAGAAACTCTATGATGGCCATAGGTACCACCACCCTTTTTGGTTCATGTCTTAACCCCTCACTAAACTTCTTGCACCTCCAAGCTTCATAAATAGCATGGGAATAAAATCGGGTTGAATGCTCAAATTTCATAGTATAGTCTTGAATAAACATGCCCCCTTGATGTAGTCTCATAAACTTCGCATCCTTGACACACTTGACATTGTATGGGAAATACTTATCAAAGAATATCTTCTTGAAGCATTCCCAATCCACCATAACCCCTCTGGTCTCCAACATTTGTTGGGTACCCCTACATTAGTACTTAACTTCTCTAATTAGCATATAAATTACATAGGTCAACTTATTCTCCTCCGAGGATCCTATTACCCTAAAAATCTTCTCCATCTTATTGATCCACTAGTCAACCACCTCTGGACTAACCTCACCCTATAAATGAGGAGGATTACACTTCCTAAACCCATCCAAGTCCTTGTACTCTTAAGACACCATTGATCTAGCTACTTCAATTACAACCTGGTTTGCTTCCATTTGAGCAAAGTTAACATTATGTTGATGGTTTATGTTGATCAAACTAATATCTAACCATCATATACTAAGATAAATTAACCCATAAGGTAACACACAACAAAAATAACAACACAACACAACTTAAACAAATACACAACATAAACACAATAGGTTCACCCCCATATAGTGTTCCTAAAAAAACTTGACTGAATTTAATACCATAAAAGTGTAATGACCCGACAGGTCAATACACCTAGTATAATATATTTACTACCAACGAAAAACATGAAGTCATCAACTACACTAAGGTTTTCATGCAACAATCACTTGAATATTCATGTAAACAATCACTTGAATATTCATGTAATAGATATATGTATAGGTACAAAAAAACTTAAAACAATATCTATTGATATAACCGAAAAACATAAAGTCCCTTATAACTTATTTTGTCACACTTATCACACATAATGTCACATGTTGCACCCATTTTTCTCACTCATTCACATCATCTTACTTGATACTTATTATTTGACTATGTTGAATTATTTTAATTTTAAATATCGGAAAACTTCGTATTTTGTTACATTACTCTTTTATTTATTTACTCTATATTATTTTAATAATAAATTTATATTTAAATTTTAGAATAAAAGTTTGTAGTTTTATATTTAAAAATAGAAATTTGTCAATTTTTCTTATGAAAATTGATTAATTTGAATCAAACTAATCTCCTTTGGTTTGGATTATAAAAAAGTTGATTACTTTAGATTTTAGTTTATCTTAAAACCGAATCAAACACGTTGATGAACACCCCAGTGACAAACACGTTAATTAGAGATTTTTTTTTTATAAAAAAAAGTGATCTCTTGCAATTTGAAAAGAACTTAACATGTGGGTGAAATATTTTCTTATCTATTTGAATTCTTGAACGATTTTTCTGTCAATGGCGGCCGAAATCGAGCATCTAACTTCAACAACTTACTAGACAACGGCGGCTGATTAAAAAGATTAATAAGATTGGAAAAAGAATAATTTGTTTCACTGTTCACGACACGATGCGAATATTAATGTAAAAAGTTTTCATACTAGGATAGTTTATAAAGATAACGATACTTTATTCGAAAAAATTATATGAAAACAATACAAAACTTAAAAGATAGTAAGAAAAATGTTGAAAAAGATTGATGATGAGATAGAAAAAATATAAATCATAAAAAAATATTAATGTGTTAGATTAAATTATATTTTTGATATATTTTTTAATTTTTTTTAATTTTTTATATTTTAAAATGTTCATTTTAATTATATATCTTTTATATTTGAATTAATTTAGTCTTTTTAAAATAATGATCATTTCTATTTTTTATTATGATTTTGAATCAATTTTCAACTGAATCAATATATGAAACTTGTAATATTAAATTCATCTATATAAAAATTATGAAATGTAATTGACATTTGAATGCAAAAGGTTATAAACATAACAAAAATTGTATAAAAAATATATCTTATGAATAATTAGAAAATAACATGAAATAAATTGTATAATTAAAATTTTAAAATTTTAATTTTTTTATCATATTTATAGTAAATTTGATTTCAAATTCAATTATATTCAATAATTTTTGTATGATTAAATCTTATGAGATAAGTTTCAAAACTTAAATCAGTCAAAAAAGATTTAAAATAATTAAATTGACTTAAATTTAAGAGATAATGGAGTAAAATGAATATTTTAAACAATAAAAGACTAAAATAAATCTAAAAAAATAACATGAATAATCAAAAATTTAATTTAATCAATGTGTATAAAATATATAATAATCTTTTTAGGTATAAACTACAAGCAGTGACGGAACTACATGTGCTCCAAAGAGTGTAGATGCACTCCTATTTTTAAAGATAATATAAGTATTTGTCCTTTGTAATAATTTTTCTTATCTGCCCTAAATTTATAATTTCAACATATTGTTTTAAAATTTTCAATTGTTGTCAATTTTTATATTTTATTGACTAATTACTTTTTTATATCTTAGCCTATTTTTAGTTCATTTTTCATTCTTAATTAGTGTTTTTCCCCTCTTTTATTTAATATATATTTTCTATTTTTATATATAATAATTTTTTATTTTATTAATAAATTTTTTATATATATATCACAATTATATATATATATATATATATATATATATATATATATATATATGTATATGTATGAGGAAGGATTAACTTACTCTAGGGATAAGTCTAGATACTATTATGTTCAATAACTTATATTTTACGTTAAATTTTAATAATCTAACCATTAATTTAAGAGTTCTTAATACATAGATCAAGTTTGCAAATATTTAAAAAAAGAGTTAATCACCTATATACTGCCAGTGTAAAGTTTTTTTACACTAGAAACCAATTATATCTTTTAATTGTGTCATGTCACTATAAACACATTTACTTTTAACAGTGATATGACACAATTAAAAAATATAATTAGTTGTCAATGTAAAAAAACTTTACACTGACAGTGTATAAGTGATTAACTCTTAAAAAAATTTAAAAAATATTTGATAATTCGTTTCGATAATTCAAATTAACGTATAATGTGTTTTTATGACTATTCGTCAATTTAAATTAATGAAATAAAATCAAATAATTTTTAAATTTCTGAAAAATTTACAAACTTGATCTATACATTAAAATTTTTAATTAATTAAATTAAATTATTAAAATTTTATATAAAACACAAGTTATTAAATAAAGTAAATCTAAATAAACTTATTTTTAAAATAAATAAATCTTTCGTCTATACAAGTATTTGAATTCGATACCAATTTCACAACTTATTATTATTATCTTAACCAAAGGTTCTTTTAAATTTGGTTCCTTTAAATAAAATATTTTTTATTATAAAATAATGATACTAAAACTTAAAATTCCCATTTATGTTATATTATATTAGTAGCAGCCCACCCCACCACCATATTATATTTAGCAACATTATTATTCCCTCACTCACATGAATGAGATCTGTTCATCTGTATGTAGTCACACATTTCAAAGCTAAATTGGACTCTTGCATCAAATGGAAAAAGGCATGCTCTATAAGTGTCAAACATGGTCAAGTCTAGTATGCTATACATTCAAATTTCACACACACCCTTTGAGGTTTTCAATACAAGTTCAACCCAAATGGCTTCCCTCAGCAGCAGCATCCTGAAGCAAAGGTCTTCCCTTGCATGCTACCACCCCATCATGGGGAGGCTCTTCTCCACAGCCACAGTGGTTGACTCTCCTTCTCTTGCTCAGAGAATCAGAGATTTGCCTAAGGACCTCCCTGGAACCAACATCAAGAAACATGTTTCTCAGGTACAACTTACTTGTATCAGTTTTCATTTCATGCTTATATGAGATATGAGACAGCTTCTGAACTTGGTTTGGTGATTGCTCTCTCTCAATGGTTGTACTTGCTTTTAAGTGGTTTTCTGTTTCTGTCCACTCATAGCATGCCACGTGTTTGACTGGTTTTTCATGTCTTATCTGATTTGTTCATTTCCTCGTCTGCCAAAAGTGAAAAGGTTTTGGAATCGAATTTTTAAGGGTTTTTTTTTTCCAGTGGGGTTGGTCTGGATTCTAGAAAGCTGCCTGGAATTCTTAGTATAGAGTTTGGGATGATTAAAGCTGCAAAATTGTGATTGTTGTCATAAAAGTCAATTATTCTGTTTGAATTTTGTTGAAACCATTTTACTAACCAGTTGTATGATTCTAATTTTTTAGAACCCATTTCGCAGAATAATTGACATTTCTAATTTTTAAGGTTTTTTTCCGGGATAATTGCATTTATAGATGCAAAATTGTGATTATTGTCATAAAACTCAGTTATTGTGTTTTGAATTTTGTTTTATGATACTAATAGAATCATAGATATATTTTTGGGGTTGAATTTAGGGGAAGGCGTTGTTTCCCCAGGACATACTAAACCATGGTTTGAATGATCATATTTAATGTCTGACTGTACCTCAAACAAGATTGCTTTCAAAGGAAAATGTGCGAGAAACCAATTTGAGAAGAAAAAAAAATATTGAAGAGAAAACCATATTTGAGTTTTCACTATTTTTTTCTATCAGTTTTCCTTTTTCCTTATTCTCACGCGCGCACACAAAAAATAAACAAAACTTGAAGAAGAATCCATTTTGCAGAATAATTGACATTTCGAATTTTATTTATTTTTGTTTACCATTTTGTTTATTGGAGGATATGTTCTGGTGCTTCTTATTCAATGTTATCTGAAGTAGAACGATTCATTTTTCAGCTCATTGGGAGGACTCCACTGGTTTATCTCAACAAAGTAACTGAAGGATGTGGAGCTTATGTTGCTGTCAAGCAAGAGATGATGCAACCCACCGCCAGCATCAAAGACAGGTCAATTCCTCTCTTCATCCAATCCTATTTGACTTTCTTTTTGTTTCTACCTTGAATTTGATCAGGTTTCATACTATTCTTAATATAATCAAAATTCCTGTAATTTTCTTTGTTTTTACAGACCAGCATTTGCAATGATCGAAGATGCTGAGAAAAAGAATCTGATATCTCCTGGAAAGGTTAGCTGATTTCTTATGGTAGCTATTTTGCTGAGTTATTCACATGTAGGTGCTTACATTTACCTGAACTGATGTTGTAGACAACTTTGATTGAGCCTACATCAGGCAATATGGGCATCAGCATGGCATTTATGGCTGCCATGAAGGGGTATAAGATGGTTTTGACAATGCCCTCTTACACAAGCTTGGAAAGAAGGGTGACCATGAGAGCATTTGGAGCTGAGTTAATCCTCACTGATCCAACCAAAGGGATGGGAGGAACTGTAAAGAAGGCTTATGACCTTTTGGAATCCACACCAAATGCTTTTATGCTGCAACAATTTTCAAACCCTGCCAATACTCAGGTTACTACTTACCTGAACCTAAATTGCTATTTCTGTCTGAAATCTTTTACTTAGAAAAAAAGATCTGTAGAACTATGCTTGTACTATACTTCTGTAAAGCTTGGTTTCCCTTAAGTTTAATATTGGATATAGTTCTGAAATGCTTGGCTAACAATGGTGAATTTATTTACAATTGACTTCAAAATGGGAAGCAGGTGCATTTTGAAACAACAGGGCCTGAGATTTGGGAGGATACAAATGGACAAGTAGACATATTTGTTATGGGAATAGGAAGTGGAGGAACAGTCTCTGGGGTTGGGCAATATCTCAAATCCAGAAATCCTAATGTTAAGGTGATATTTTTCAGATCACAATTCAAATCACAAACTGAGCAGTGTTCTGTTAGATACACTTATTAAACCCCTTGAATTGCTTTTAATCGTATTAGATATATGGAGTGGAGCCAAGTGAAAGCAATGTGCTGAATGGTGGTAAACCTGGTAAGGATCTTGCTTTTTTTTTCTCTGAATATTCTTTGAATTTTTATATGATAATTTTGTGTATAGTTTCTTCTTGAATGTTATGTTTCAGTCTTCCAAGCAACCTAAGATAAAATTAAAAGGCTTGCGTGTACAAGTCTCTAAAATGTTTACATTTCATAGTCGTTTCTGGCATTGGTGAAGTGATGAAATAATATAAATGTAAAAGGGCCTTAAAATAAGGATCTAAAGTAACGAATATAATTTCTATGGCCTATTCTATTTTCAGAAATATTCTGATGTTATCATTTATATTTAGGTCCTCATCATATAACTGGCAATGGGGTTGGATTCAAACCGGACATATTGGACATGGATGTAATGGAAAAAGTTCTTGAAGTAAGTACAGAATATTGTAGTCAAAATTTAGAATGGAAATTTTACTTTCATATGTTTCTCCTAATTGTCAGTGGAAACTTAATTTGGCAGGTTAGCAGTGAAGATGCAGTTAACATGGCTAGGGTGTTGGCCTTGAAGGAAGGACTCATGGTAATCTTCAAATGACAATTTTGAAGACTTCCTTAAACAAGAATGCATGAGAAATTTCAAGCTTCATTCATTCTGAATTTCTGATTATGTTTCTTTAAAAACTTTCCAGGTAGGTATATCATCTGGAGCTAACACAGTTGCAGCACTCAGATTGGCTCAGCTGCCTGAAAACAAAGGCAAACTCATTGTGGTAAGAACAGTTTCCTTTAAACAACATCAAGCTAAAGACTTAGTCTAATCACTAATGTGTCATCAGCCTCATTATCTAAATTCACAACAGGCAACAACACTGCAATCACTACACAGTTTTTCTTATCTTCAATTCATTACATGACTCTATTAAAAAAATGCTTAGCTCTATAATTTTAGGCAGCAAAGTTTTCTGTCTTTGTTGCTGACTTGCTGATTTGTGATAACCATTGATGACTTGAATCACAGACTGTTCATCCAAGTTTTGGCGAACGATACCTGTCATCTGTCCTGTTCCAAGAGCTTCGTCAAGAAGCTGAAAACATGCAGCCAGTTGCAGTTGATTAATTCTATGCATAAGGACTTAGCAAACTTTGTTGTGGAGTTACATGGATCAAACTAGTTGTTACAATCCTGTTGTAGCAAAAACTGTTAAAATCATCTTTTAATTCTGCAGCAGAAAATGTCAATTAAAGCTGTGCTAATTGGAAAATCTTTTAGTTATACGTTTGTATTCTTCTTTTTTTGTTGTTTCGTTTGTAATTGGGGAAAAAAGTATAAAGTAACCGAACTGTCTTAAAAAAATTGAATAACGATAATTCTAGGAATCAAATCCTATTATGTGTAAACTGTCTTAATTTTCCATATGATATGTGTGTTCAAAAAGAGAAGAATCCAACTTGTTAGTATTGCCAAATTTCTATCTTTGACAAAAGTGTGATTAGGTGCAATAAAGCAAATGTACCAACAATGCCACAATGGCTAGCAATAATGGGTAGTGATGATTTGTGGGGTTTTGAATTAAAAGGGAAAATAAACAAAACAAGATTAACAGTAATGTTTCCAGTCTTTTATGTGTTAATGTCACATGGTTTAACAGACAAACTCTTTTCCTTCCAAATAAAAATAGGTATGTGTAACCAATAAGCTTTATTACTCGATATTTTGAGGAGGTTATATGTATGTGGCAGAGATGTGTAAATGTGATTGTTATAGATATAATTTTTGAAGTATAATTATATATTGTTAAAACCATTTGTTTCAAATTTTATAAAAATTAAATGATAGTAATTTCAAAATGTTTTTCATTTTTTGTTTTATATTTTAGAAGTGTATATAATCTTAATCTTAATGTATATTAATGAAATACTAAATAATTTTATAATAATCTGAGAACGATTTTGACTTATAATAATGTAAACCGATTTCTTAGCGTAAATTTGATCCCTGTGTAAACGATCTTTGATAGTTATATATGAAAGATAAGCTTGTAGGCTGCTTAAAAAAAAAGTGAATTGATAACTTCTTCCAAGTGCTTGAGTGAATAAGGTGCTTGTAAGCTTGGCTCCTAAAATTTGTTTATCATAAACTGTTTTAAAAGTTTTCACGCTGATAATGAATTGGAAAATATTTGAATCATACAAGTTTCCATTGAATTTTATATTAAAACGATTCATCTTCAATTCAAGATAACTAAATACTAAATTCACTAGTAATCTTGCAAGTTGCTGCCTAAAAGCACTACGTTGGACACATGTTTTTGTTCCATTAAAATGGTGTTGATTTTGATCTATTAGGTTGCTGATTTTGTTTTTCTTCTTATTTTTCTTTTATAATATCCATTGATTTTGGTGTATTAACATGCTGAACTTGTCACTGGCCTTGCTGCATAAAGTGCTGAGTTTTTTTTTTAAATTTTTATATTTATTATTATTAAAATGCCAAAGATGTTACTGGTTTTGCCGAGAGTGTCAATGATTTGTAAAGTTATGTCTTATGTGTGTTTAACGTATGACTTTATGTAGTAAACAACACCTGACATGTCTATAAGAAATTAATTTGCGTAAAGTATTGACTTTGTAAGTGTATAAAGTGTTTATTGTCTTTATTTATTATTTAATTTTATTAAAAAAATTGAATGATTATGAGATCTTTTAACTGCGTTTTTTTTTTCTTTCTACAAGACTAGAACTAGATATTTAAAAGTTTTTTTTTTCTTCTTGATATTAGGGATGACAAACATACCCGTACCCGCGGGTAATACCTGAACTCGTCCTGATTTTGATGGGGAATACCCGATTTAACCGGGTACGGGTACGGGTACGGATACGGATAAAACCCGATATATTAAATCGGGTACGGGTACGGGTATGTACTTACCCGCCCCGTACCCATACTCATACCTGTCCTTGTTTTCTTTTTTAATTTAATACTCACTTTTAATTTAATTATATTAAAAAAATTTAATATTTTTTTATGTATGATTATTTATTATAATATATGATAAAAAATAACTTAATTATAATTATAATATAATAAAAAAAAATTTAAAAATATTATTTTTTTTACAAAAAATAAAAAATAAACAAATTGACGGGTACGGATACAGGTACAGGTATACCCGATACCCGACGGGGACGGGGATGAGAATGAAAATCTATACCCGACGGATATGGGAACGAGGACGAGAATGGATTTAATTTGCGAGGACGGAGACGGATATCATGAAACCCATACCCGACCTGCCCGTTCCCATCCCTACTTGATATTGACTTATACGGTACTACATGATTTGGTCCTTTAAATTGAGATATAATTAAACACTCGTGTGTGTTGGGCTAAGTGCCTTTAGATGGATTAACAAATATGAGAAAAAGAAGAAGAAAAAAAAAGTGAAAAGGCAGTGTATTCTTATTCATCTAGTTTCTTCGGAATCATCGATTAAATTTTTTATAGGAGCGTAGTTCATGTGGTAGTTTATGATCGATCCTTAACTTTTTAGTTGGTAGGCTTAAATGCGTTTTTTCTTTTAAGAATAATAATTGTGTAATTTTAGTTTCTTAAATTTTAATTAATTAATGTTAGTATTTTAAGTATAATAATTATATATTTTTAATTTTTAATTTTTAATTAAATAATTTTAATCTTTAAAATATTATAATTCTGTAATTTAAGTCTCTCAAATATCATAATTATACAAATTTTATCTATTTAAGTTATATATATGAGTAATTTCAGTAATAATAAATATATATAATTTAATATATGAATAAAAATTATAAAATGTGTAACTTAAATTGGTCAAAAATTATATAATTGTGATACTTGAGGATTAAAATTATACAATTACAATACTTGAGAAACTAAAATTATATAATTGTAATACTCTATATATTAAAATTGTTCAATTAAAACTTAAGAACCAAAATCACACGATATACTAAAGAGATGAAAACTCAATTAAGACCTTTGGGCCTTAGCCCTCACGGTTTTGCTTTTGGTCATCACCCAAAAGGCCTCTCAATCATTGAAGTATGTTTGTGCTATATTTTTTGTTATTTCTTGTTTTATTTTATCGATGTGGGACTTGTTTGTATCCCAGCAATCCTAAACCCAAAAAACTAGATTTGATTAAATAAACCCCACGAAAATGAAACTTGATTCTCTTTCAATTACTCTACTCCAATCAATCAAACTCAAACAATGATCACAAAGAATATATTTTAGCACAATAGCACACATTCAGCTCAGGAATCACATCAGTTCCGTATTAAAAGCATTGAAGAAAAAATACAAATTTTCAAAATCACTTCAATCCCCATTCGCACAAGTAACAGATACAAGCCAAACATCAACTTGAACTAAACCCCGCGAGTCCGCGACAAAAGTCCAGAATACCAAAACAAAATGTGCTCAAATTTTCCTCTCTCTCTCTCTTTTTAAGAATTATATGACCCATCAAAAAGTTCAAGTCAACTTGTTTGGAATTAGACCAACCAACAACTACAAGTGGTATAAAAAGATCATGTGTACGTACGAAAAGGAAATGTTATATAATATAGTAGCATCTTACCAGGTCATCAGAATTTTCTAGTGACATGTCAAATGCTTCATTACTGAGAAAATTAAAAAAATTGCCTATAAATACCTATTTCCATGTGAACTGCTATTATCCAAATTAACAATTGGCGCCCATAAGAAACGACCAAGGAATTAAGGAATTTTCACCCTTGTATTTTGCAGTATATAAACATAACGCGTAATTATATAATAATGATTTAGATCATCTATGTTTAATTAGTCAACATAGCGGAACACGAACCAACCTTTTGAAGTAACCTTATGCATGTTTCGTAGATATTACATTGGAATATGCTAGTATTATGTACAGCCAAAGTTGGAGCCAAAACGTGTAATCTTCAATTGGTGTTAAATTGGATTTATTCTCGTGTTTGTTTCCTAGTCAGTCTTCGACTTCGTTTGTCTGGTGTTTGGTCCCAAGAGTTGAGCATTGAATTTGAAAACGAGTAGAAGTAGAATTTCCTAGATGGCGGCTCTCAAGGTCTTGCCAAGTGGGTGGGTTAACCTTCGTCGTTACGTCTTAAAACAAGTGGGGGGGCTTAACCTTTTTACATTTTATTTAGAAGTTGGAAATGAGAGAAAAAGAATTAAAACTTTTTTATATTAACACATCTTAAAAATATTAATAAAACAAGAGTTAAAACTGAGAGAAAAAACCTTTGTGTAGATACATGGATAAACGCTAATCCCTCTTTTATGTTGTATTTACCCATTAGTGTTTTACAGCCATTACATAAGTACAATTTTGACATCTGACACGGAAAAAAAATGTACGTGATAGCTTACAGTTTTTTTACGACACGCAACACCACATTCTCGTTGAATTTATGCTAGAAAGAGAAATTAAAACAAGGAAGCAAAAGAGAAGAAAATGCTAATATTTTAGGAAAAACATATTTATAATATTTAAAATAAAAATAGAAAACAATTGCATTACCAAGATTTCAATAACCATGGATAACAAACTAACTTGCTCCTTTGAGTGTTGGAATAGTTATTTTGATTGGATACAAGCTTAGAATTATTTTTGAGAATTTCTGTAATAAAAAAATTTATTTTCAATAGAGAGAGTTTTAAAAACTCTTCTAAATTTGTATTCAAATCGACACTTAATCACTAGAGAAAAAATAATTAAAAAACTAAAAAAAAAAAAACCGTAATGCAGACTGATTAACAATAAGTGGTTTTGTAAACAAATATGCTAATTGATTTTTTAACATGCAGCAAACAAATTCTCCATTTTGCTGCATCTTTCTTAAGAAGTAAAGCATGATATGATAAATGTTTAGTCTTCCCATGATACACTGAATTCTTTGATTTGTCTATCATCTATGACGTCAGGTAAGACCTTTTTTAATGTGTTAGCCAGAATCTTTGATAGGATCTTGTACATACATCCTACTAAAGATATGGGTCTATACTCTCCAAGATGTTGAGGGTTATCATTCTTTGGGATAAGGGTGATGAAGGCAGAATTTGTGCTCTTGGGCAACTTTCCATAGGAGTGGAATTCAGTAATAAAACGTATAATATATTTTATTGAGAACTCAATTAAGACTTATATATTTTATTGATATCAAACCATAATTTTTGTCTTCTCTAACTTTTTTATTTTATCAAATAAAGGTTTTAAGAGTAAAAAAAACTAAAGAAATTAAAATCGATTATGAGAATGAGCTAAATTATATTTTTCACCCCTTATAATATTAGATATGTAATTTTTACTCTTTATTTTTAAATTCACAATTTTTATTCTCTAATTTTATAA